AAGAAAAGGGACGAAGGAGACCATTAGACAGGTAGAGCCGGCGGATGGACAGACATGTCATGCTGACCTATATTACTTGAGAAGGAGAGAGAGAGGAGATGAGAGCAAGAGAACTTGTGTTAAGGTGACAGGTGTCTGTCCTTCTCCACTCTGTCTCCTCCATCTCTCCAGCATCTGAGGCAGTAATTGGTGCTGTCAGACACACAGAGAAGGACAGAACACACACACACACAACCACATACTTAGTCATAGCCACACACACACACACACACACACACTCCTGCCCTTCAGCGTGTACCTCTGGGGCTTAAAGTAGGAGAGGTTTGAGAGAAGAATTCACTACATCCTCTACCAGCTGTGAGACAGAGAGACAGCGGAAGAGGGCAAGGCAGTGCAGGGTGGAAATGGAGGGGGCAGAGGGAACAGTGGTGGACAGAGACAGAGAGGGAGAACAGAAACAGAATGCACAAGAGACCGAGACACAGAGAGGGAAGAAAGCAAAAGAGCTTACGATGCGGGAGGGCTTTGGCTGCACAGACAGAGGCCTCCACTTGGAGGGAAGAGAGAGATGGAGGAGAAGTGACAAGGGTGTGCAAATGTATGCGGCAGAGAGAGAGAGAGAGAGTATGTGTTTGAATAGCCATGAGGGAGAGGGAGAGGGAGAGGGAGAGGGAGAGATTACGCAACTCCAGAGGTGACAAAGCAGATGAATATGATTTTGTATGATTGAGCAGCAGAGTCACAGTCATCCAAGCGGCAATGTGTTTAGAGCTCATCTCAAGACACACAGAACCCAGAGCTTGAAACAAAACAGGAATAAAAATGGTTTTAAAAGTCGCTTTTAGATACTAAAGGATGAGGCTTCATTTTTCATACTGTCAACAAAGTCCATGAAAAGACCAAAGCCTATGTATTGATCCAAAAAGCAAGTATGTGTTCTTTGCCCACATTGACCAAGTGTCTAACATAACGGATAATAATTTTTGGGGGATGATGCCATTACTGGTATATTGCCTCATATATTCATACATACACACACATATATATATATATATACGCAAAAAAGACATTTTGCAAACAATCCCTTATGATAAAGACATGTTTAACCATAAACTTTATTATAAATAATGGTAAATAAAAAAGAAATAAACATACATTTTGTATTGCAAGACTGACAAGTCTCCACTATGCAATATTATTACATGTATCTTGTGCAGTATGTATTAATCATGTTCATCATGTCATGTTAAAACACTGTTTAATAACTATCGTATGTATCATACCACATAAAACACTGTGCAATATTTATATTATTCATATAATTTATTCATGTTAGTGATATAATTTATCCTACTTATCTATCTATCAGGTCCTGCTACTGTATGCTCTTAACCCCCCGCTGCCTACTTTATTGAAGAGCTTTATTTTATAGTTCTTTTGCATATCTTTATATTTTCATTGAATAGTTGCTAATTTTTTGTATTTGTATAATTTCCTTTGTGAATCTTTAGAACAGTCACAATTTTTACTTTTCGTAATTTTCTTGTGCTTGCTTACATTGACAATAAGGCTTTACATGGATGTGTCATTTATGCCAGATCTACGTAGTTCTTTCAGGAGAATTTTACAGGAACTCAATTGAAATCTGTTGACAGTAAGAGAAACCCCAGGAGAAAACTCTAATAAGGAACAAAATATATCTTGCCATCACTGTTAAAATAGTCAGTAGCTTCTGCAACAACCAGTGGTTTGTTGTTGATCGTGTTTCACAAAATCAAGTCCACATTTCCTGTTCACTTTTTCCCATCACAACATCTGCCTCTGCTTTCTAACACATATATAAACACAATGTGCCCGTCACTTTAGGGGACAAGAAGCAAGCACGGGTGGGAAAAGAGAAAAAGAGAAAGATGAACCCGTGATCCATAAATGTTTAACGAGAGCGGACAGAGGAGATGAGTGCTCTGGTGGGGAGTTGCGGGAGACAGAAGGAAAAATGGTGAGGTGAAAAAGGAAGACAATATCAGAAGAGATGGGTGAGGAGCAAAATAGGGGGGCCCGTGGAGGGAGGTGGAGAAAAGTCCCATTATAGGAGCAGACACCAGAGCAAGGTTAGAAAATAGCAGCGTTGAGGGGAGAGAGAGCAAGAGATCGAGGAAAAAAGGCTGTAATTGGAGGTGTCTGGTGTTTGTCTAACACAGAGAGCTAGTAATGATTCCATTAGCGCCTCACACCGAGAGAGAGAGGGAGACAGGGAGACAGAGATAGGGAACGGGAGAGGGAGAGCGATACAGAGACTAAAAAAGAGGCTGGAGAGGCCAAAACACAGCGAAAAGATTCACACAGAACATTAGACGTGGAAAACAATGAGCGCCAGAGCAGCTAAACAGTAGAAAAGAAGGAAACAGGAGCGCACAAAAGCACATGAGACAAGAGAGAATTCAAGGCATCCCCTGAAAGGCTTGTTCACCTGCACAATGGTAACAATTACAAATGCCCTCCGAGATCCTTGCTCCAGCTCCCTCCCCCACCTCGTCCCTTCATCTCTTTGTGTGACAGCAAACGGGAGAGGAGAAAATGATTTAAATGCATTAGCGGTGTGTGTTTTCCCTATGGAGGACCCACAGCCTGTGTCAGGGCAGGAACCTTTTCTTCGGAGCCGACGCAGAGCGCTGAGGACTCTTTAAAAGCCTGGCCCTTGTTCTCTCTGGGAAACATTAAAGCACAACGCACTGGGTTGCTGTACGTCTCTGTGTCCTCTCATGTCTTTGTTAACAGCAGGCTGATTACGGATGCAGTTTCTTAAGTTGGCTGAGGGAAATTTTGACAAGGTCAGGGAACAGTATGGGAGCAGAGGTACGTGCAGGAGTTGATTTTAACTAGCCCAACAGTCCCCTCAAATCCAATCAAGGTGCACCAAATGGCACACATGATTAGAAATTAGATTTTTAATAAGATGATAAATTCCCCTGAAAAAGTGGAAATGGTGAAAAATGTTACAGATCCAATCCTGGATCTGCACCTAAATTTAATGGGTTCTTCCCTGACCCGGACCACGGCCCCTCCACCGAGTTTCGTGGTAATCTGTCCTGCAGTTGTTGCTAAATCTTGCTCACAATCAAACAACAAACAAATGGACAGGGGCGAAAACAACCTCCCTAGTGGAGGTAACAGAATAAAGCTGGTTTTCAACAGCTGTAGTTTGGCATTCACAGGAAACAACCAAATATAAGATATAATTTCACATTCTCCATCTCATTGCTATGCAAATCCCTCCCAAGACCCCTCAGAAATGTTTTTTTCCTAATATTGAGGAGGTGGCGCATACAACCCTGTGGCGGAGAAGCTTCAGTTCCCCACAAAGGAATTAAAATGCTTTTTGATTGTTTCCAGAGTAAATTGCCACACCAGAAAATCTGCCTTGAAATGAAGTCAATTCCAAATCCTGGCAGTTCCTCCCTGTTTTGAAGACACCAGTTTTCCACACACACACACACACACACGCACACACACACACACTCACGCACACACCACATCTGTAGTGGCCATAACTCGTTAGACAAGGGACACATATATTTTCTGACCCCTGACCTCAGACTGTCAATAAGACTTCATCATTACTTCTCCACATGGCTATGTCACACATGCACACACACGTGCACAGTGTTATTGAGTTAAAGCGGGCTTGTGAAACACGCTTACATTGCTGTATTCGTTCTCTGCGGAGTGATAAGACTCTGGGAGCAGACTGATGAGGTCATTGAGATCACTGGGGTCAACTGCTTTGCTGCGTCAGATCCACTTTAAATAAAGTTTCAATACAGGGAACGTGACATTGACCTGCACACTCGTGGAATGTGAGATCACCGCTCATCGCAGCGTGTCGTTTTACAAGACAGACGTAGCTCGACAGTCTGTGTTCCATGATTGAGATGCAGTCGGAGTTCTGCCACAATCTGTGCACATTACCAGTCTGCAAACTGCAGAGTACAGCTTGTTCTTATTCACTTGTCTCCAAGGCCCAACTGCCAAGTTTTCTGGGTATCTTGGCTGCTGCTCCTCCAAAACAACTGAAATTGCATTATGTGCTCCGATTCCAAGTTTGCAGTGATGAATATCTATGATTCCATTTTCTTCTCAGGGAGGAAGTGAGCCCGTAGGGGCAGGTGACACAGGGAGTCTAATACAGCTTGCTCACTCAAATGCATACACACACAGTATACACACACAGACACAGGGCGCACCATCTGTGGAGTTTTACGACTCAATAATCTGCTTCCTAAGGCATACCTTTTCCTCTCCTGCTACAACACTAACGTCACACACGTCAATGAGCACTTTCTCACACACACACCACTCAGCAGGGAAAATGAAATATTCAGTTCTGACACACACTCACACACACACACACACGGAAAAGGAAGAGGAGATGCCTCATAGCAACTCCTACCCTTTCCTCTGTGAGAACTGTCCTCGCAGTGTTGGGAGCTGTGTAAGTCACTTGGAGTTATAACACCCATGATGACACACACTGAGTCTCACACAACACACACACACACACACATACACACTATTACAAAGACAGTGCATCAGCAACCTAAATACAGTCTCACAACCAAATTCATAAAGTGATGCCTACCACAAAGAAACACAGGCAAGCACTGATGCACAAGCGCACACACAGAATTAATATATGCTGTGTATGTTGATAAGTGCACTTTTGTACGTTGTACTATTATGTTCTGTCTTTTATATCAGGTGTCCAACCTTAATGAGAACTATACGTGCACTGTTGCTCACCAAAGAACACATGCTCAGGTGTAATTTGTGCTACAATCAAGTCCCTTTACAGACAGAGGGCATTGAAGCATGTACATAAAAGCACTGTGCACATTTGCCTCTAAATTTGTCCTTCTCTCTTTCTCTCCTTCGAACACAAAGACATTCCCACACTTTCAAATATTTCCCAAACATGTCTGCGGGACCACCACCCCACTCACGTTGGCAGACGTCCTTGTTCTCCTCAAAGCCCGGTTTGCACACACATCTTCCGATGGGAACGAGCCAGCCTCCATCTGCGCTGCAATACATCTTGGGAGCCTCGAACTCCTCGGAGGCATTCACGCACGCACCGTGGACCTCTACCAGCGCCGTGTCTCCGCCAGTTATTGTGTCGGGGAACTGGGCCAAGTTGAGCACAGTGAGGGGGCACTTCTTGTAGAAGACCCTGACAGAGACCAGAGCAATGCAGGCGCCCAGGTCCTGAAAGGCCAGGTAAAAACCCTTTTTGCTCAGGTTGCTGATATCACGCACCTCCGTGTTCAGCTTCATGACACGGTCACCAACGTCCACCTGTGGGCAAAATGTTCACATATCTTAGGTCTCAGGTAAATGTGAGCACTCAACTGTAGCACTTTTACTTTTGGATTTATTATCAGTCCAAAAAGTTGCTGATCTCTTAATGTTAACTGTTGCTTGAAACTCAGAGATGGTATTCCCAAGACAGAAATAAGGATGTCCTCCAAATCCTGACAATTTTGCAGGCAAATGGAATAAGATAACAACATTTATATACAACTTACATTCAAACTCTGATTCATTTTCTAAGGGTTTGTGGTAAATGATGATTATCACATTTTTGGAATGTAGCTCTTTTATTAAAGCATCATATCACCACATACACCACAATCTTAATTTTTTGTGGTGCCCTATATTCAATGTACATGTGTTAGCATGTAACAGTGTATGTTTGCATGTCATATACACAGGACATGTACGTGTGTGTGGTCATACCTGTGTAAAGCTCTCATCTGCAGCAATGGTATCAATCTTGACATACTGGCTTTCCTTGATGAACCACAGGTTTGCATTGTTGGACTCATAGTAGTACATGTTGAATGTCTGCAAGACAAACACAACGTCCATCATCTTTTAAAAATCGAAACGTCTCAATAACACACTGTAAAACAAACACATAAAAGCGAGAAACTTTAAACTAGGTTTTCTTCCAATCTGAAATGTCAGTCCCCTCTGTGTCTCGATGGTCGGTCAGCAACACTGACTGTCTGCAGTTTCATGAAAGTGCAGCTCTATAATGTTTCCTATTATCTCCACTGCTCATTCTGGAGATGTAATGAGAGTGAAAAGGGTTCAGGGAGAGAGAAATGAATACAGAGGAGCTGTGATACAGAGCTGATATGAGACAATGGGGGGACTGTAAAAAATATATAGCGCAGGTTAAAATGTATGAGGAGCCAGAAAAGAGGCCTCTGGAGTGTCGTCTGTTTCATTCTGCAGTTATTCTCTCATGTCGTTCTTTCCCCCTTTGCCTCTTGTTTACGTATCTATTGATCAGCCATCAAAGTGTCTATATTGTATGAAAAAGACATAGATAAAATAGTAGAAAAAAGACGTATAAAATGCTGTTTTGCTGCTTTGCAGTGTTGTAATGTGCATAACAAGCATTTATTTTGTATAAAGCAATAATTATAACAACCACCTTGTGTCTTATTACAAAGAACCATTTGAATGTTAGTGTAGATTCGGATCAAATAGCAAATCCAAGAGTTTTTTCACTTTCATTGACATTGTATACAAGTTTAAATATACTGTATATAGAATTTTTATTGATTCCTTAAAGAATTATTCATGGATGAGTGTCTGCAATTTGGTGCTGATTCAAATGAAAATCCGCATCTATATTGAATTTAAATATGGTTTCATAATAGGACTGTTGGGCATTCTAGTATTGATGTATGTTGCCATATATGTCACCAAAAACTGCAAAATGTTGTCAAATTATCCATATTCTGTGGAATTTAAGCACAAAAAATCTTTCCCTTATCATCAGTTATTTAATGTTCATTTGTTTTCTTCTCTTTTTTTGTCTCTTGAGTGTCGACATTTTAAGCTGCAGCAAAAGCACACAATAGAGTATAATTGTATCAGATCGAAAGACCAGGCAGGTTTAATTGAAAAGCAGAGATTTGTCATTAAAGTTAATTTGCTGGTTTAGCTGATTAGCTAAGCACCCTAAACAAATTTAGACTTTGCAGGTTCTGCAGGGTGAATTTGTTCCAATTTGTCCATTTGTGATCTAATTAGTTTATAATTTTCATGATAAATACAATATGTATCTCCTAAATTATATATTTGAGAAGTGAAGAAAAGACTGATTGCATCATTCAACTCAATTTTATTCCTAAGGCTAAAAGAACTGCACAGTCAGAGAAGTGATTTTTACGAGACAAGCCGCAGAATACAGTAGTATTTCTACCTCCACTGTGTTCCATATTGAATTTATTCGACTCTTCTCAACTATAGATGTGAAATAATAAGAAAAAAAACCTGCTACCTACTACCCCTCAGAATGAATTCAGAGAGCTGACAGGACCCACGGAGGTAAAGTGAAAATTCAATGTGTGTGATGCAGACCTCTTTGCAAGTGCCAGGGACCCCGGGCAGGCTATTACAGTCCCTCAAGGTGAACTTGATCTCGATGTAGACGCGCTGCGCTCCTTCCCGGCTGATGTGGCGCGTCCTCAGCCAGTTGTTCTGGTTGGCCTCCATGACGTTACAAACCTGATACGTCCTCATCGGGGTGTTCCTCTCGTCCATCACGCTGATCTCCTCCCACTGAGGGTGAGAGGTGGAGGGAGAGAGGGAGAAAAACAAAGCAGGTCAATTAGATGAGTAAGATGTAGTATGTTTCTTGTTATATTTTAGTTTTACTGTTGTTAACATGATGTTTCTAAGTCAGATTTAGAGTCCTCCACTTTTATAAGATGCCATATTTTGAGGGACATCAAAGAAAAAGAAGTGGGATGAAGAAGAGGGAAGAAGAGAGTAGGAGGAAAAAAAGAGGAAGATGGAGAGGATAAATGGAGGACGCTGGGAGAGATAAAGAGTTTTTTTTTTGCAGTGTTAAAGAAGAGGGGTAAAAAGTCCTGGATCTGGATCACAAATGTTATACTTTCTTCTTTGGGTCATGCTCTTCCCCTCCACAAATTAAACGGAAATCGGTTAAGGAGTTTTTGCGTAATCCGGCAAAATAAATGTTGGTAAATATCAAACATGTTTTATATTTATTGATCTTTGTCCTGAAATTCCTGTAGTGTGAGTCCAGCTTTTGGTAGAGAGACATTCAAGTAATTGACAACAGCACCACTCAGCTGCAAGATCTTCCCACTTCATAGGTAGTCAATAGACAAAGGATATCTCAGTCCAAGTACTGCTTATGAGAAACTGGGCCCAAGTTCACTGAACTGTGGTTTAGTGGAAACCAACACTGAGCCTGCATGTTCTGTTTTCATGTCTGGGTGAATATGAGTGATGATCTGTGTCAAGATGACTGAAGGACCGTCTTTGTCTATGCTGCACGTGTGCATAGAGTGAGCATGTTTTCCTAAAGTGAATGGGTGATTTAGTGCTTAAGAGAGAGTGTGTGTGTGTGTGTGTGTGTGTGTGTGTGTATGTGTGTGTGTGTGTGTGTGTGTATCAGAGAAAGAGGGAGTAGGTAGGACAGAGCTACTTTGTCTCCCGTCATCTGCTACCATCTGTTTCCACTTCTGACTAAGGCAGTAATTGAGAACACTTCTCGCATGAGCAGGAAAACATTTGCACACACACACACACACACACACACACANACACACACACACACACACACACACAAACTTACATAGATACACACACACAAACACACACACACACACACATATATCAACACACACAAAAAAGACATTTCTATTCCTTAAAGAAACGGAAAATAAACCAATGTGGTTTCAGTGTCTCAAAATATCTGATCTAAGCTAACTGGTCACACACACACACACACAAACACACATCCCACAGAAACAAACTAGTAGAGGTTGTGGTGAGGGTTGAGAGGACCACCATCTTTGTTCTGAGCTCCTGTCATCATCTTAATACTGAAACTTTAATCTCCCTAGTGATGAGCACATGTGATCTGACAGGAGTCAAATCACGTAAACACATAATACATGTTCATACTACACAATAGTATGAAACACCTACTGCATACACAGCTGTATGCACTGAAGCATCCACACACGCAAACCAGATACACGCAAAAGAGCCACAGAGGAATCTACCTGTCCTCCCTAATGCGTCCTAAAATTCAGATGAAACCAGACCAAGAGAAAGAAATAAAGAAAAGAATGAAAAGGGAGAAGACAGGCTAATAAAATGCAAAGAAAGCAGTGAAAAAAGGGCAAAGAGAAACTTCTAGTCTAAGCTAAGGTTGGATTCTCAAGGTTAATCTGATGTGACGGCCCCACAACCCAGCAAAAGCTTGATGCATTTCAGCTCCAAGTCCTGAGCACTAAAACAGATCCGCATAAAAAAACCACACCTTCTCACATAGAATCACGCTTTCTCCAGCTCGCTCGCTCACTGAGATGCTTTTAAACTCTACCGCCCTCGACGAAACGTTTACTGTGAATGAACTGGAGCTTGAACAAAACCAGCTCTGACCCAACAGTCCCTCAAAAACAGAAACAGAGAAAAGAAAGATGAAAAAAACAGGAGAAGACGAAGAAGAACAAGGAAAAAGAGGCAGAGGGGGAAATTGTTTAAGCTGCTGCACTCAGCTGACACAAACGTCCCTGACAGCCAGTTCAGAGTTTGAAGATTACATATATACCCGGCGTATCGCTAGAGTCTTGCTTGACATTGTGCACACACAGCGACTGCGAGTCATTTAGATCAACCACACTCAATTCAATTAAAAGAACAAAACACCAGACGGAGGGAGAAAGAGAGAGAGAAGAGGGGAGAGATGAATGAATGTTGGTAAATTACAGGCGCGCCTGGCAGCTAAATAGACCCATCTGTGCAGAGCTGGGACCAGTCGGACATCACAGGACCGTTCCACACACACACAGACACACAAAGCTGAGTCCCCAGGGAGTGGTGATTAAAGCATTTATGGGAATAGTCATTGAGGGATAAAGAGGGCTTTATGATGTCTTTGTTTATTTCTTTGTAGGCAGAGTTTGGAGTGGCTGGATTACTGCCACTTCCTGGCGAGTGACTTATTTCCCTTGTCGGCGAGTCTGTTCGCTGTCACTTTTGCCTGGTATTAAGCACAGGTGTGTTTATGATCATGAATACAACCTGCTCGCCGCGCTGTATGCAAATGATACACCAGCCGCTTGAGAGCGAATCCACCAAAAACACGAGTGGGAAGATGTTTAGATAGGCTGAAGCGTTTAAGCTCTCCTCCTTATACGCACAAATACACAGTGAAAACTGTTGCCTGTGTTGGTTCAGGCTGAACACCAATTAACATTCAGAACAAAAACCCTCCTCCCTGAACCCTCAATCACCTCAGCCAATCAGCACGGAGCCTGCTTGAGTGCTTTGAAGTGAAGCAGAGACGTCAGATTGGGGTTTAGGTTCAACCATTCACCAGCTTAACATAATATCCCTCCTCCTGCAATCATCTGATGGGCACACCTACGAGGACATAATTGGCCTGCGATCTCTGGCCCGCTGATGGTGGCGGAGAGAACGAGGGGATGGGGAAACAGAGATGGAAGGTGAAGAACCAGAAGGGGAAGAGTGGTGGGGGTGGTCACTGGGGGAGTCGAGATCCTGTGGGGGCCTCTCGTTTTCAAACATCATTAAGACATTCTGTTTTGTGTCCCCCATGAGGAACACCCCTGACCGGTGACAGAAGTGGGTCGCTCCACTCTCAGGCACATCCGACCCTGCACAGTGTGGATTAAACATGACCTTCAAGGGTCAAGTGGGGTTTGCGACTAATTCACGTAGACAGTGGTCTCAGATTGGTGGGAATTGCCTCCTGCTGGGTCCAATCCGCAGGTTTAAGGGTCAAAGGTCAACTAGATAATCCCCTTGATATGAAACATAAGACCTTCTCACAGTCTCTGCACCTTCCATCTCTTAGTCCATCACTTTCTTATCGCTTTTCTTCTCCTCTACACTAGATCCAAGGAGCATTTGAACCCTACCACGCTCATTTTAAGACCTGCAGTATCATCATATTTATGATAGATAAACAATACCAGTGCCAACATAGCGTCCATGGGGTCATCCAAAATTTGATAAACTGAATGTTAGGCCTTAAAAAAAAGATGTACAAAGGGAATGTTTTAGCGAATAAGCATAGTCCGGCTCCACGTGTAATTATATATATTCGTACACTTTAATAAAACTACAAACAAGATTATAAAAAATTGAGTCTACAAATACCTTGGTCAGGATTTACCTCAGTAGATTATGGTTACCTATGTTACTTCACCTCATCTTCAAATATGGAGAATTGTAAGTAATTCTGTGACTCTGATATTCCTTCATATCTGTCTCACTTGACATCGGTCTTAAATTTAATTTATTACAGTCTTAAAAAGTCGTGCAACAGGTTTGGCCTCAATTAGTCTCTGATTCTTCATTTTAATTTGTTTTTTGCTTTTAGGCGCTACAATTACAAGGGTTTTATATGCTGATAACAGACGGGATGTCTCTTCAGGAATCACAAGTAGAGGGATCATCTTTAGTTTCACAAATCCACTCTACATCTTTTTACAATGATCATCTAAAGCTTTTTTTTCCAGTACAGGTAGTAAAAGGTAAGAGCTTGCCATCCTCAGCCAACATGATCTCACTGCTATATATTTAAAACTGAACTTCTGACCAAATAGGATCTTGTTGCACAGAACTGGTCTGAACTTTAAACCCATGTTAACACAGACTAAGAATCAGGTTAGCCCAGCAGGTACCGTTTGTGTCAGACCAATCTCAGAGCCCATTGGCTAACGACAAATCAGCCTCTAGGGACAACGGCCATTATCTGGGGGCTTCTGGTCAAGACGGCAGATATTCGGCCAAGACTCCATCTTCTGTTTGATGTTCGCTGTTTACAGTCCAACTAGTTTTTTAATGACAAAAGTCGAACATTTCTCCAAACAAAACAAAAACTGTGATTATTTTTGTGGGTGTTTTGGGTCCAGACGGCATTTTGGCTAACCAATAGATATAGTTTTAGGATTAATATGACACTGGAAGGCCGTTTTTTTACATAAAATGTCTCCTTAAATTTGTTAGGTTGATGAGGTCCTATACTTAAAATGAAAAAGTTAAAACTGGGATGGTTTTGAGTTTTGAGGGAAACAATGATGTTAAACAGAGGATCACCCCATATGGATTCCTGTGGATTTTGGAGAAATTGTATCAGGACGTCATGATTAATTTTGGACTATAAATAAAATGTATTAGTGATGTTTATAGTTGGGTACATATAAAACCATCTTGTTTAATTGCTTTCAGTTCATCTTTTCCTATTTGGCTGTGTTGCTTTAAGCCTGTCTGCTTTCTGGCTCTTTCTCAGTGACACAACTTTTTATTTTCAGGCAAAGTCATAGTGAAGCAAAGAGATCGGGGCAGCAGGTTATCTCAGACAATTTAGCCTTCTGCATTTGTCTCCTTTAAACTGGCTGGTGAACGAACAAAAACAAAACGGTAGGATCATTTTTATAGGAGGAAGATAACATCAGCTCTGCGTACCATAATGTACACACAAATTGAGACCAACCATGAGAGAAGAGAAAACAGCTTTGACCAATCAAATAATTTCCTCTGTGCGATAAAACAGCTGATAGAGCATCAACCCAAAGTAAAGACACTAAAACAAAACACTTTTCTTATGTCTCAGTCGATGCAGAAGAGTTGTGTGAGTGTGTGTCTGCATGTGTGTGTGTGTGGTGGCCCATATTGAGCCAGTCTCCTCTCGATTCCTGTACACACTCAGACACCAGATCCCCCCTATTCTAACAGTTCATGAATAAAGATATACAGGATGGGCTTTATTTTACATATTTTACTTTTCAAGCCAACACACATCTTTGAGGGGTAAACTAACAACACATGTGCCTTTTCCGAGCCATGATTAATCCACCCACGAACGGAACCATATTTTCTATAAAACTAACTTGTGTACCTTGCTTGTCAAAGTTTAGACTGAACCTTTTGGCTTAGCCACAGATGGAACACATTCTGCTGTCTATAAGGGGCTCAGTGAGGAAGAAAAAGAAACACATACACAAACATCCACAATATGGCTCCACAATCATCGCATTTCAGTTGGGTGAACTTGATACCCTTGATTGCTTGAGAAAACAAAACCTTGCTGAGCTTCAGCTGCCTCTTCTCCGCTGTGCACAACCATGAAACTGCGTGTGGCATCCTGCAATTTAACACACTGACGCTGAATAGTGGAGAAGGAAGTGTGACTCAAGGGGAAATAGAATTAATTCAGTGCCATTCAACAGCTCTAGTGCTAGAGTGACATACAGATCCTGCTCTTATTTCTTTATTGAATAAACTTTGTTGCTCTTCCTCTCTACGCTCTCACCCTCTTCCTCTCTACACTCTCCACTCTTCCTCTCCTCTCACTTCTTTGTTTTTATTTTCTGATTCATGCTGGCTGCACTCCCTTGGTCCCCATACCTGCAAAAGGCTAGTTACATAACCAACCCCCTCACGCACACACACACACACACATACACACAGGCAAGCAACACAACATGTACATGTCATGTCCTCTTGTGTAAGAATATCTACCCTTCCATCCCTTCCCTTCACTCCATCCCCCACAACCCGTAATAAATGGAGGCTCCGGTGCCACGGCGTTCTCAGCGCAGCAGAAATAATTTGTAAATTCCCCCTGCAGACTCCCGATTTAGCAAGGCGCGCTCAAGAACCCAGTGCTCTCTAAAACACACACTCCAGTGCTGCTGCCGGAGCTCTGAGTCGCTGCCTGTTCCCTGAAAATACAACGAGTCAACACAACCTGCTAGATGTGATCAGATTTACACTTCTGATGCCAGCTCCAACATAAAGAGAGGAGGATTTTGTGTGTGTGTTTGTGTTGTGCAGCAAACACTCACCCCCTCATTAGGGTAAGCCTCCCAGCCCAGGTCGGCTAGAGCTGACATGGAGTCCAGCAACGTAACTGCAAAACACAAAAGAGAGAGAGCAAGCATGTTAACATACTGAAAAACCCCTGATACATTACAATAACATTTTACTGTCTCAAATGCATCGTAAAACAGTCGGTTGTAAACCTCCCATGTAAAACTCCATGATGTTTCCATCTTTTATTCAAGGGTGTGTTTTGTTGCACTGAGGCACAACAGCAGCAGAATCACAAACGCTGGTAAACCTATAATTTCAGCTTGTGCTGCAGCCGCTGTGGTTCAAGGGGACACAAAGTCAGTCGCTGAAAAGGCATCAAGACACCAAGGCCGGAGTTTATTTTACACACATTTACATAAAGTGACACCCCACCCAAAGCCTCTCTCTCTCTCTCTCTCTTTTCAACCTCTTGTCCTCCACAAGCCTGAAAAACCTTTGCTTGTTTTCATGGAGAACAAAGGAGGCCGTGGTCAAATCTTATTAAAACAATGGATTTCAGCACGGACACGTCCTCAGAATGAATAAAACATATCAGAGACTTATTAAATCACATTCAGGGTTTAATAAGTCTCACTGTTCATTTGCAATATATTAAATATCACATTTCTTTCCCCACTAAGGGTTAATACAGTGCTTTTGTCTCAATCTCATCACCCTTTCAAGCCGATGAGCAGGCACATGCGTTGGACTGAACACATCAAGCTGTTACATTGGTCAGATCCATCTTATTAGTTAATTATTGGCTATAAAACAGGAAATCTACTGAGCTTTTTGTGAACACTTCTCCCAACTGTGTGGATTATCCAGACACTCATTGTGGTGATGGAAATTTCAAAACCTGGGCACACGGAACAAAAACTATCACCATGGCTGCATGTAGGAATCAGTGAGCAACAATGAGTGTAACTAAGAAAACACACAGTAACCCTCTCAACACACACTTTACAACAAAGCCTACCATTGAATTATTACTGCAACTACGAAAAGGATTTTGTTGAAATATCACTTCAACAGGAGATTGTCATCCAGCACCAAGTGCAGAGGTGGGGTGTACGTGCACATATGATTCAAATTACACCAGTTTCCTGTGTGTGATATCCTGAGTGACAGGAGGTGGAAGTGGGAGAAGGATGCAGGAAGGTGAGAATGAAAAGTGAGAAAGAAGGTGGCAGGTTGACCAGCGGGAGGCATAATGAAAACCTGCTCCGACGCTGGAGTGCAGTTCTCCACCTGCGTGTGTGTGCGGTCCAGGTAGGACTCATGCTGTGGAGCCCTAAACCTGTTTAGAAAGTCGCATTATGGGGACTTGTCTTCCTTATGGGAACAAAAAGCAAGTGCCCATAGCATAAGGACGTATTTTCAGGTAAGTTTAGGTTGGTCATAGTAGAGTAATTGTGCGTTCATGTGTGAACGCCATCTCCAGTTGGAATATCAACTCCAGTTACTGATGTCGTCACTTATAATTCAATTAACATTATTTTACATCAGTACTAAATATTCACATCTAATGTCAAGTTTTTAAATGTTACACTTTTTTCAACTGTATGCCCATCTCTCAAAAGCACCTCACAATGATTAACATGCCTTTTCTTTTAATGTTCTTATTTACGTATATATCTGTTACCTTTTTTTTCACTCTTTCTTTATTAGACATGCTGTTTTCAGACATAAAATCCATAGAATTGACTACAGAGTCATTCTGCAGTCTGCCCCTCATGCACAACATAGCAGGAGGTTTTCTGCAAAGATACGTTCACAACAGCAACAAATCCTCTGCATTATTCAGGCGAGAGGTGGAGCAGCCGGTCGCAGCAGACAGAGGCAGGAAGTGACGTATTAACTCCGCTGCTGAGATCATGTGATCATGTGTACAGCATCCCGACACCGTCGTTAACTCTTATCACCAAAAACTCTCTTGACAGTTTCGTCTACGTGTCACAGGATTTTCACCGGGAGATATTTGTTTTCTGTTTGTTTTTTTCATTTTTGCGTCTGTCAGGCGGATAAAGTTCGTAGCATCTCACTCGGACATTTGTGTTTACACATGCAACTCCTCCAGAGAAAATAGGATCTGCGGAGTCCAGTTCATGTCCGAAAGAAGCTATGGAGACACAACTGTGTGTGTGTGTGTGTTTGTGTGTGTGTGTACGTGCACACGCTTGGCTCAGTCAGGTCCTAATCAAGTCTTCAACACCGCTGACCATCAATATTTAATCAGTATCCATCTGCAGAGACTGCTGCTTACCTCTTTTTTCTCTCTCTAGCTCTCCCAGGTTATCCTCTCGCAATTGAAATCTTTGAACCTATGGTTTCAATCCACAGATGACAGATCAGACACCTGAGTCACAGACCTGACACGATGCAAAGTGACTGCATCAGTTTTAAAGTCAGACACATATTCCCTCCAATTTCATAAGGGCCCATGCTGCAGTGACCTGGAAAAAACTACTCCAAAGTAAAAAGAAAACAGTTTGCCCTCCTGCATATAAATGAGACTAATCACTCAATTGAGTGCGGTAGAAAATGGCTGTTTACAAGCCCCTCTGTGTATCCATACTTCCTGTAGGTATAACAAAGAAACTGTAAAATTGGTCCAAGCTCCTCTTTTCCTATCTATCCCTCTTTTCCTCTCGCACTCACGCTGTTCATCAACCCTAACTGAATCCCAGCCATTCTCCTCAGCTCAGCACACCATGACAGCAGGGAGGCATGTCATGCTGCATTAGTGTATACGTGCGTATGCGCGTGTAACAGCCCACATAACTGCGCGTGTCCTGGCGCGCTCGCACACAGCAGCGTCTGCGTGAGAAAACAGCCAGAAAATAGTGCACTTGGTGTAATGAAGCAGGGAGAGAGGCTGCGTAGCGGTGCTGAGGTGAGAGAGCGATAGATTAAATGAGAGGGATGAGACGGAAACAGCAGAGGAGAGATGCTGAACAGGGAAAGGTCAGCGGCGGCCTCTAACCCGCGTGTGTATTCAGATAAACTAAAGACCATTTAGACTGTTTTCCACAGCTCATGTGCATTTGGAGTGGCGTACGGAAATTGGGCATAATAGTATAATAATATTTGATTGCAGGGCCTGACAGACAGGTGCACACACACACACACACTCATATTTTTGTTGGTAAAAGCTGCCTATCAACAGGTATATCAAATTAAGTCAAATCGTCTGTTTCACATACACTTAATTATACTCAGTTATTCTATGTTCATGTTTTTCACAGAGCAGGCTATAGATAAGTACAAGCTTGATAGTTTTTTCATTTTATGGTTCACATAAATGACACTAGTATCTAGGCTTCCAGATAGTATAGATTGTATCTGTGCAGATTTTAAGATATTTGAATACAAATGAGGTAAATATTATTTTTGGAGCTTAAAAATTTCACTGTAATTCAGTGTCAGTTTGTCTTCAAAGAAATTATGATTCAAGGTAACACACAGGCCTCCCTGTGGTTTTGTTTCATTGGACCTTAGTTAACTTTGAACTCACTGACCACGTGTGTGTCTGCATCTTCTGGCGGAGCACCACATTTACACCTTGTTGAGTCTGGCGTGAGGTGAACATATCAAGGGACGGATTTCTCACATAAAGATAAACCTGTCTGCAGGACCGGACACGTCTACAGTGACTTTTTTTGCTTATGTAGTTTCTCATTGTGTAGAAATGTATGGGCCTAACAGAACTGCCTTGTAAGTGTTACTGAGGCCATTACATGTTCTTAAGCCATTTTGCAGTCCACTGGGAAAACACACACACACACACACACACATACATGAAACTCCACATTGACACTTCTTCTCTTCTCCTCACACCTCCTGTCAATACCACTTATCACTTGACTATCACTAATCAATGACTGGACTCATCAATTATGTATTAGCTATAGCTTCCTGTCTGCTGACACAGCGAGAATGCATATAGGCTATATATAAACGTGTGTGTGTGTGTGTGTTTGTGTCTGACATTAAGAAAATACAAAGCTTTCTCACCCAAACAGACATGAATCTCTTTCTATCCATTAAGTGCTAAAGTTGTATCTTTCCATCCATCCATCTAAATCTGAAGCTCTCGCCCTCTCTCTTCACCGTCTCAGGGGAAATGTGTGCGTGTGTGTCTGTCTGTGTGTGAGAGATGGGAAATCTAAGCCTGGGCCTGGCCTGCTTTGGCCCGGAACAAAAACACCAAGCTCATCATTCAGTCACTTAAGCCTGGCTCATGTTCGATGTAATGACAAGGCTCTCTCTCTTACACACACACACACACACACACATAAATGATGAGCAGCTAAAAATGATATCTCATACTCACAGTGGAGCACATTCCAAATTTGAGCACTTAGTGACAACAATGGAGACCAAAAAGAAAATCTATCTACACACATGGATTTCCCCAGCTGCTCTATCTTAAAATAACACTTTCACACAAAGCAATGGGCCCTCATACTCATGATATTTCCTAAGCTTCTATCACAGCACCGATCCATACTCGTGCACATGTGGCCTGATTACTGCGAGAGTTGCTTGGTTACTGACGGACACGCTGTCGTATCGATCTTCAGCCCCAAACTGTGGGGTTTACATTATGAGAATGAAAGAAATTCCTGTACGAAAGCAGCAATATGCTGAAACGGCACCTTCTACTACACCCAGAGCCAAATACAGAAAAACCCCAAACATTTTCTCAATCTCTTTGTCTCTCCATCTCCTCTCTGTGTCTGTCTGTTTTTCTACTCACTCCTGTTTCCTCCCTCTGGGGTGTCTGTCTCTCCCTGTCTTCCTCTCTATTTTCTTTCTCCTTTTCTGTCTGTTTATGTCTCTCTCCCTCTCTCTCTCTCTCTCTCGCTCTCAATGCTTCAGCTGGGCTGCAAGAAGCTGTGATCCACCTGCCAAGAATCAAACGCCGCTGCCAACAACCAGACTGGCGCACAAAGAGACCGGGATGCTTACACACACTCGCACTCGCACACAAAACTGACAAACACACAATTTAAGATGGTGCCAGTGCCACGAAGAGAAAAGGCTGCACAATAA